TTGGACATTTATACAATTAAAATCAACCTCCATTCCCTTAATTGTATTTTACCCTTTATTGCAGGCTAAAGAGCTATCTGCCAAAGTTGTCAAATACACAAGAAGGAACCAAAAACGAGGAGAAGATAAAGAAGTGAAGAGGTGGTATTGGCCACTAGTGAAGTGTGTGACTGTCAGGGTTCCTAGGAATGATCTTCTCCAGCATGTCACACTTGTCGACCTTCCTGGAAATGGGGACTGTAACAGGAGCAGAGATAGAATGTGGGAAAAGGTCATTTATTCACATGCACTGCTGTTTGTTGTGTATTACAATTATCTGAAAACTAATACAATGTTATTAGAAATGACTAATTATTCATAGGAAACTTGCTGTTATTCTTCTTCAGCTTGTTGGAAGTTGCTCTACTGTGTGGATTGTGACTGACATTAATCGAGCAGCCTCAAAGGAAAAAGCCTGGAAGATCCTGAAAAGAGCTCGTAGCCTCATTGGAAATGGTGGCGAGTGTCAACGCATTCACTTTATCTGCACTAAGTCTGATATTTTGCGTGGTCGGTAAGTGATTTAAAAATTTTACATGCCACAAGTACATAGTATAACATCCAAATAAAACACTGACAAATGTGCAGGCCAACGCTCCTCTGGACTAAACACAAGCAAATGTACACATATTTTACAGTACAGGTTGTACAGTACTGGTAAAATGGGTTTTTGTTCAAGCATGACACTGCATGCTCACAGGTCAAAAGAGGAAGAAAAACTGTTTCAGATTTATGGATAGTAACCAGTTTCCACTTGACACCAAGCTTCCAGATACAAAAGACTACAGGTAACATTTGTTCATGTGGGGTCAAAACATTTTGAGAGGGGGTTAGTATTTTGTGCCACAACCTTTAATCAGATTTCTCATCTCATCTACATGTCATTAAGAAGTATCATCACCCACACTCCAGCTCAGAGAAGCCATTCTGGTGGGTGACTTGCAAATGCTGCATTGATGACCTTTCAAATGTCTCAGCATCCTGCTCTACTTCACAGCATTGATCTGCTAAATTAATAATAATACTCACCTTTATTTGGCCAAGTATGTTACACAGAAGGAATTTGTTTCTGGTACAGAACCAAGGCAGCCATCTGCGGCATCAATTCACCAATGGCTTTCACCATCGGGGGCAACTTGGGGATTCAGTGTCTTGCCCAAGGACACTTCGACATGTAGAATGCAGGCACCATGATTTGAACCTACAACTCTCTGGTTGGGAGATGACCGCTCTAACCACTGAACCAGAGTCTCCCCCTAATGTGTCACACTTTTCACTACAGGCTTCACAAAAGATAAATTTGACTTTTATTTTGAAAGGAGACTGTTCAAAAATGTTTCAGTGCTCCAAATACTGTATGAGGTTCCACTTAATACAAATCTTTTCTTATAGTTCAGCAGCTGATGTTC